AAAGGTATCAACGATTCCGTTTTGATATATCATCTTATCCCACCTCTTTCGATGTTCCACCAACATTTATTGCGTAAATGATATTGGCGCCTTTTCTTGGGCGCCATTGTGCCCTGTATATACAGTTCAGAAAAAGAAAACGTGTTTAATAATGTTTTAGGTTTCAAACATAATGTAAGAGGTATATACATAAAAAGACAATAGTGGTGGGCGAAATTTGGCTGGACACCTTTGCAAATTTTCCATGATAAAGAATCGTATTTAGTGCATTGTCATTTACTGGTTTATCTTATGAATCATGGTGCCCTTTTGACTGGAAATTTGGCCTAGACATAGAATGCTTTGGATGTTTTGGAACGTTCCCGAGAAGCGCAAATGTAGTTTAACTGTACGTGCATCAACAACTGTGTTTGATGGTGAGGGGTATTATCTGACAAAATCGTCACGGGGATGCTAAGAAATGCTAAGAGTGCAGACAGACAAATGCAACATTAGCAAACAGCTCACCGAGGTAAACATAGTATCATTGCATAACATTATAAGAACTTTATTGATTTGTCTTAAAGAAAATCTGTTTGTTACCGGTAGTGACTAATAACCAGTGTACTTTGTATCTCACAAGCTTCATTCAATCAATTTCATGAGACGTCACAGGTACGTAGCATGTTGTAATGTCCTTTTATCGGTTGACAGGTATATTTCACTAAACACACTGTCACATTTCCGGAGATTGCCGAGTAACCGTAAACAGACGTTGTACAGAGTATCCCTGGACGACAGACAGTTCTCTCTGCTTCTTTTACCCCCTACTGTTGAATTATATCAGTTTATTATAAGACATTGCCCACAGCCTAAATCAAACATGAATGAACCGTAAATCCTTAGCACTGGATAACGTCAGTTCAAATTTTCACACAGTCAACAAAAACTCATTATGAGTTGTCTACTACTTTCGGATTAATGGTTTAAGCTGACTCAGTCTGTCTGTGTTGATTGTGTGAGGTGCAGTCGCACGTATGTTAGTGTATATATGCAATCTAGAATATCGGTCACATTGTCTGAGGGTTATATATATATAACAATTCACAAGTCACATTATATTCCTCTAGGATAAGGCAATATCTTAACTTTTTAATATGGAAATCAAAATTGTGTTATATTTGAAGGACAAGTTACATCACGAGTTGTATCTCCTCATTTCAGTCAACGTACCACATTGTTATAACGCCACCGATATCTTCATTGAACGTACTTTGTAAATATTTGGTCGAATGTGCAAACACTAAAACACACAACCCTGTCCATTGTGTGAAAATACTGAGCGCCCTGTGGTCTTTCAGCAATACATATGCTCATAAGTAAACATCTCTATGAACAACAATACCGGTTATCAGGTGAATGGCGCTGACCTAGTAAAATGATTTATGAGGTATTATTGTCTGAAATAAAACACTTTTAAACTTCCCCACTCGAAAACACAATTGTGTGTTGATCCCCAAATATGTCGCTGTGGCTGACTGACTTTTCACAATCTCTCTGTTTGTATTTATTGTAGCGTTACGTTAGAACGTATGGTTATGACACACATGATCATAAGATTCAGTTAGCCGTTTATTCCATTCATAAAGAATTCATAGTAATTTGAATAAGTTTCTTATAAATTAGCGTACAGGTCTGCAATACGGAATACATTTGGCTAATAAATTATAATACTTTCTACAAACATTGTTTTATATATGTATGGCGCGTTGTACCTAGATATTTGCTCAGATGACAATAATGTAGGTAATTATGGGCACCATGAAAACATGCTACTCAGCATTCCCGAAATTAGAGGACACTCTGCTGTCAGACATGCTCTATTTATTCTCGTGTTTTTGTTTTGAAGAATTTGTGAATACGTTTGTATTGTTAACACGAAGCTTTAAAAGCGTCAATAATAGCTGTCATTAGCTCAAAGTTTGACGATTTTATATCTTTGGTGATGGCTTTATATAGAAGTTAAAGAACTTGTTTCTGAATCCAGTTTAAATCGTTCATGGGGTCTTTTAAATGTAATATAAATCAATGAAATTTAGTACGAATTGAAAATATTTTAAAGCAATTGTAAAGTATTTTTTATCTTACAATATGAATTTTAATATTTATGACAAAAGATGTTCATCTTTAAGAAACCGGTTTATCGTATTTAAACGCTGCAATATCCTACCTAGTCAGCATAAAAATAATTACATAGCATTGTGTCAGAAGTTAACGAACATCACATCGAAGTATGTGTTTCGAATATTGAACTAATTTTCATCTTCTATTGCATAATGAAATATTATCCACACGTGTAACGCCATGTTTGGCTCTAAACATAAAGATGATAATCTTTGCAAATCTTTAAGAAACCGGTTTATCACATTAAGTATCAAACACCCATTTCTGATTCTAGATCTTAGAGAAGAAAGGAGGATTTGACAAATGTCGATTAAGTTTTCAACGTGTGTGTTTCAACTATTGAATTCGTATGCAGGTCCATAACTTACTTAGCTATTGCGGTCACGTAGCACCGTGTCAAGTTCTGTGACAAAACAAAGCAATAAAGCCTACCCCGAAAACTTTGAAACTGCTGACTGTTAAACAAGCAATACAGATTTATTTCTGGCATTTCTTCCCAGCAGTGTCCAATATGATGTTATCTACTGCATTTCATACCGACCCTAAATCTCAATTATCACCACAACAGAAAACAACGCAATAGCTACTACGAAGTCTTCTTCATCAATCACATATCGAGTTAGTCCGCTAATTATGGGAACATATGATGCTTTCTCGTGATAGTCACACATAATTTGCCTACTATTTGGCGACTGTCCAGAATTCCACCTAACATATTGTGTACTTTAGACACATGTATGGCATTACTAGAGGTGTGGTATCGGATGAGTCTGTATTGCGATGTCCAGGTGATCTATACATTCCATATCTGCAGTTGCTTAAACCAACGAAGTCAATCATGCACACAATTTCTTAATTGAAGCCCTTTGACTGTTTCCTAATTTCATTGGTTACATTTGACCTGAAGTTGATTTTTATTGGTGTACTGGTTTTTGTTATAGACTAAGTCAATTCCTTTCAGCCTCCTCTTGTGGTTAGTTAGCATATATCCACTATAAACAAAGTAAATGTTCATCATTGAACATCAGTTTCTGGACAAGCATTACATATTTTTCTAAAATATAAATAAGACTATACCCTTATACTCTTTTATGTTGTATAACGTATAATTATATCCTTCGTTGTATACATTTGATACAAGTTAAATTTGACATTTCAAATAACAACCTGATTGCGTCATATTAGTTTTCATGATATATAACATTTGTAAATAACTATAACTGTAAATATCATGATATCACTTTTCCTGTAAGTGATCACCGAAAACTAAATTTTCATTGTAGGTCTTAATCTGTGAAATCTTGTCCGATATACCCTTTTCAATTTCGTGTCCAGCCTCCTGGTTCGCAGTAGGTCATTGACGTTTGTTCTATTAATGAATTTATAAACATATGGTTTAGTGCCCCTTCGTGCGTGACTCCTTGTTTCAGGTAATTGAATATCGTGTAAAAATAGTCGAGCAGTATCAAGACTTTCTAAGCGTGTTTTACGTACCAGATTAATTTCTTATCTTTCACTGTCTGATTTTTTATATTTTTTTTATCTCCGAGGATTTCAGCACTTACGTTTTTATAGCCGGTGCTGGAATTCTCGTTGTGTCTTCCATTGTAAATGCCAGATTCTGGCATGTTCCGGTGTAATACTACCTGATGAGGCAGACTCAGAATATACGAAATCCTTTTTTACACTCGCCAAAACTTTTCTCACATCCCAAGGTATGGCACAATGTCGTGACGTAATTGTAATCAGAGGGAAAAGTTGTTGATGGAGATGTAGGACAATAATTTTGTCCTTATAATCAGAGACCATATCCTGATTGTTATACTTAACCAATAGTAATGAAAAATTTTAATTGCTGCAACTGAAAAAAACAGCTTTAAAGACAACATTGCCTCTTATCACTGACCTGTCGCAACAAACCTACAGCTGGGAAATGATAAATAACGTTCCTTATGTTGTTTTATTTTCGTTTGAAAATTTTCACTACCCACTGATTATCTCTAACCAGCCTTCGAATATCTGAACTTTGACAGCAACCGCTAATACACATTTATAACGTGTCTTTGAGCGTTATAACAGAACACAATATTTAAAAAAAAAAAAGACAACACTAGCCAAATCTCTAGGTCTTTGTCACTGAATAACCTATGGAGTATAACTCGGATCAACATCAAGAGAATGAATTCTACAATATATTACCGCCATATTCTTACATATACAATTGTATCACTACCCGTCGTGAACTTTCTGATGAACCTACATATTATATTTTAATTTTCATCAAATTTGTTTCACGAAATAATGACAGCAAAATTTTATATCCAAGATCGCCGTCTATCGGTTGTTTTATTTTGTCTATCAGTCTCAACATTGGTTAGACACAACAAGAGACCAAGGAAATCAGTTGCTTCCCTGGCAATAGCGATCAAATGCGTTAAAACCCAGGATAAAGAAACATATGTTAGCTGTTCGCTATTTCTCCGATCTGGCTCAAATTTGGTTGTGCACAAGGTACAACGGAGAGCTTGATTTGTGACGAGCCTATTCCGCTCTTGACAAAAATTATCCTCGAAATTAAGCATGCTGAACAAAGGATACATTTCATTTCATTTTAGATATCTTCCATATCTAAACCATTTCAATATCGGTATATCATGCCTATTTCGTCTTAACAAAACGATTTTATCAATAAGATGTTGTTTTCTTGCTTAGAGTAGGTAATCACAAGTTTGTTCTAATAAATAATGTACATGTAGAACGATGATAAGAAAAGAAGACGTTCATCTATACAGTATTCCCTTTTAGTAATTATGTCTTGTATTTTTCATATGTTGTAGAGGCTAAAACAGACGAAACTCCGGAGTCATATCAGCCAGCTGTTGGTGACAGAGCAAAAAGCGAGCCAGCTCTCATTGGTTCGGAAGTCGACGATATCCAGAAAAAGGGAAAGTCTCTTGGAGATTTAGAGACCATGGCGGAGGTCGCTCCACAGGTATCTGAAAATACTGGTGCAGATGAGTCAGGCCGAGAAACACCGGCAGAGGTTAAAGCTGTTGTTGAAGATGCACTCCAAACAGCTGAACAAGCCTCTGAATCACAAGCAAACGGTGAAGTAGAAAAACAAGACAGTGAGACAGAGCAACTTGTACACCAAGAGGACGTAAATCCTGCTGATTCGGATTCAGTATCAAAGGTTGAAGCGCCGGTGGAAAATGTAAGCACTGAAGCTACAGAAACACCAGCTGAAAATGGAGCATCGCCCGAGGTGGTAATATCAAAACCAACGGAACCGCATGAGACACAATCTGATGTGTTAGAAAAAGCTGGAGAGGGGACGCCTGCTGAACCGGTATCCACAGAACCTGCAGTGGAGGAACCTGTATCTGCTGAACCTACACAAGAAGAGTCATCACCAGCAGAGGCTGTACAAGAAGAACCCGCTCAGCCTTCATCTGAACAAGTCGTTCAGGAAGAGTCTATACTTGCTGAATCTTCAAGCGAACAATCTGCACCTCCAGAGCCTGCCAAGGAAACTTCACCCCCTGAACCAGCAAAGGAAGAGCCTGCACCCCAGGAACCAGCAAAAGAAGAGCCTGCACCTCAAGAGCAAGCAGCAGAAGAACCTGCAGCCCAAGAACCCGCAACAGAAGAGCCTGCACCCAAGGAACCAGCAGCAGAAGAACCTGCAACCCAAGAACCTGCACCAGAAGAGCCTACACCCAAGGAACCAGCAGCAGAAGAGCCTGTACCCCAAGAACCCGCAACAGAAGTGCCTGCACCCAAGGAACCAGCAGCAGAAGAACCCGCAACAGAAGTGCCTGCAGCCAAGGAACAAGCAGCAGAAGAGCCTGCATCCCAAGAACCTGCACAAACAGAATCTACACCAGAGCAGTCCACAACTGCAGAACAGGTGCCGGAAGCACCTGCACCTGCAGAAGAGGCGTCTGCACCTTCTGAAAGCACACAAGAAGAGACTGTACCTGCAGACTCTACTCAAAAAGAACCTGAACAATCAGAACCTGCGCCAACCGAAAATGCAACTGCAGAAACTACACCTGAAGAGCCAGCTTCACAAGAAGAATCTGCAGCTGAAGAATCTTCCCAAGAACAACCTGCTTCTCCAGAGTCTGCAAAAGAAGATTCATCACCAGTAAACACATCAGAAGAAGAACCCACAAAAGAAGCAACTTCAGATGCAGTATCTTCATCAAAAACAGATAACAAAGAACAAGAAGATCCTGCATTTCGTGCAAACGATGAAGATGCATCAACCGAGGCAAAAGCGGCTTCGAGCGAGGAAAAGGCTAATACAGAACCTGAAGCAGCACCCACGGAGCCAGAGGTAGCTCAGACTGCTAGCACAGAAGAGCCTTCGACAGAAGAGCCATCAACACAGGAAAAGGCATCGGAAGATGTACCTTCCGAATCACAACAGACTCCTGATGATACTTCTGCAGAAGCACCTGTAGTTGAAACTCCATCAGAAGCTCCAACTGAAACTGAAGTAGAAAAGCAGTCTGAGCCAGCTGCGGAAACCCCAGCTGAAAGCAAACCAGAAACACCGGTTGAGGCTCAAGCGGAACCACAACCTGAGTCAGAAAAACCTGCTGACACACCATCAGAATCAGTAGAGGCTGCCCCTGAACCATCCGCTGAGACGCAGTCAGAGACAACCACTGAACAAGCTGCAGAAGCGCCAGTTGAACAATCAGAAGAATCTGTCACTGAGCCAGCAGCGGAAACACCAAGTGAGAAATCAGCAGCATCTGAGCCAGCCACTGAATCTACAACGGAAGAGCCAGCTGAACAACCGGTAGAATCTGGACCTGAATCAGCAGCTGAACAGCAGTCCGAGTCCACCGGTCAACCAGCTGAAACATCAGCTGAGCAGTCACCTGAAACAACTGCTGAAACAGCCGCCGAACCACAGCCAGAATCCGTCAGTGAATCATCCGAACAACCAGCTGTGTCTGTGCCTGAACCAGCTGCCGAATCACATTCAGAGTCAACCGCAGAACCAGTTGCTGAAGCACCAGTTGAAAAGCCAGCTGAATCCATGCCAGAACAAGCAGCAGACGCACAAACTGAGAACACATCGGAGGAGCCAAAAGCAGAGACACCAAAACAGGACACAGAATCGTCTGCGGCACCGGAACAATCATCCGAGCAGGCGTCTTCCTAAGGCTGTATTCCATATTATTCAATTTTGATTAATTTTGACAGGAACAAAATGTTCCATCCTTTCCAATCATAGTCTGTGATGTTCCAATATTTTCATGTCAATCAAGATTCGTAATATGTCATTTATATTATTTGTGTATACTTGTAAATAGCTTGTTCTGTGTTAGACAAACTGTATCACTTTCTAAATAATCAACCGTACATTTCCTAACAAACGCTTTCAAAAAGGATATGCAATAGTTTAGGAAACGAGCTTGGCATTATAGCTATAAAGGAGAACGGATGCAAGTTGTGATACATTTTTTGTAATCGATTAAAACTGGCATTATTTTTAATACGCGTTTTGTATATTCTTATTTTTGGAGTCAACAACGACGATTGACACACCACTGATGAAATATGTTTGTTTTAGTGTTATTGTATGCGCCCAATTGACTAACATGAAAAAGATATCTATAAGCGAATTTTATGTATATATATATGCCCGCCACATTGATTTCTTTTCGTACATATGACACAATATGTACAGTGTTTATACAGTTAACTTGAAAAGAGTAACTTTAAAGTGTCAATGTTCTGGAATGGGAAGAGAAAGAGGCACCGACATATTATCAGAGTTGTGATTCAAACTTTGAATCGATAAAAAGACATCAAGGGACGCCGAGACATTCCGAAAAGACACAAGGAGGATGTTACACTGTCCTGGGTATTCTAGAGTGTCTTCTGCTTCATCGTCTCCGTCTAGTATATTTCGTTAAATCCACGGAGGAAGGCTCGCCTGTTCAAATGAGAACAAGGTTAACAACAACGAAATCAAATGGCGCACTGACGAGCATTGAACACATTTTATTGCCCAGAACATAAGGAAATAAAATGTATCCAATTTAGGTCATGGTAATATCTGTGCTGTTTACATACACCACGTGCAAATATAGGACGCGATTCACATTTCAGTTCGGAGCTCTGTAGGACTTTTCTATATTACATTTCTTTATTCATTTACTTTTATTTGTTTGTGTGTGTGGTTTTTTCTTCTGTTTTGTTTTTTTTGTTTTTTTTTGTCCTTTTTTTTTTTTTTTCACTTATTCTGATCTATATACATGTTGGTGAGTCCCGGTCACCAATCTATGATTATGAAGTCCCTTTCGCTAATTTGTAAGTCTACGTCTGCTTCTAATGATATGAATAATTTCATATAGAATTTTTTACACCAATATTTCCAAAATTTTGTGTTAAGTTTATGAAATCAAATCGGTGTTGTATTCTACGTGTTTCTGTCACTATTAAAGTAAGGCACATGTCTTGTCATGAACTTAAGTAATGCTTGTAGATCGACGCTAATTGATACGTGGGATGTGAGCTTAACAATTAATCACTGGCTGGTTATAACATTTCATCAGTGGCTGGTTATAACATTTCATCAGTGGCTGGTTATAACATTTCATCACTGGCTGGTTATAACATTTCATCAGTGACTGGTTATAACATTTCATCAGTGACTGGTTATAACATTTCATCAGTGGCTGGTTATAACATTTCATCAGTAGCTGGTTATAACATTTCATCAGTGACTGGTTATAACATTTCATCAGTGGCTGGTTATAACATTTCTTCAGTGGCTGGTTATAACATTTCTTCAGTGGCTGTTCATAATATTTTATCAGTGGCTGGTTATAACATTTCATCAGTGGCTGGTTAGAATATTTTATCAGTGACTGGTAATAACATTTCATCAGTGGCTCGTTATAACGTTTTATCAGTGGCTGGTTATAACATTTCATCAGTGGCTGGTAATAACATTTCATCAGTGGCTGGTTATAACATTTCATCAGTGACTGGTTATAACATTACATCAGTGGCTGGTAATAACATTTCATCAGTGGCTGGTTATAACATTTCATCAGTGACTGGTAATAACATTTCATTAGTGGCTGGTTATAACATTTTATCACTGGCTGGTTATAACATTTCATTAGTGGCAGGTTATAACTTTTCATCAGTGGCTGGTTAGAATATTTTATCAGTGACTGGTAATAACATTTCATCAGTGGCTCGTTATAACGTTTTATCAGTGGCTGGTTATAACATTTCATCAGTGGCTGGTAATAACATTTCATCAGTGGCTGGTTATAACATTTCATCAGTGACTGGTTATAACATTACATCAGTGGCTGGTAATAACATTTCATCAGTAACTGGTTATAACATTTCATCAGTGACTGGTAATAACATTTCATTAGTGGCTGGTTATAACATTTTATCACTGGCTGGTTATAACATTTCATTAGTGGCTGGTTAGAATATTTTATCAGTGACTGGTAATAACATTTCATCAGTGGCTCGTTATAACGTTTTATCAGTGGCTGGTTATAACATTTCATCAGTGGCTGGTAATAACATTTCATCAGTGGCTGGTTATAACATTTCATCAGTGACTGGTTATAACATTACATCAGTGGCTGGTAATAACATTTCATCAGTGGCTGGTTATAACATTTCATCAGTGACTGGTAATAACATTTCATTAGTGTCTGGTTATAACATTTTATCACTGGCTGGTTATAACATTTCATTAGTGGCAGGTTATAACTTTTCATCAGTGGCTGGTTAGAATATTTTATCAGTGACTGGTAATAACATTTCATCAGTGGCTCGTTATAACGTTTTATCAGTGGCTGGTTATAACATTTCATCAGTGGCTGGTAATAACATTTCATCAGTGGCTGGTTATAACATTTCATCAGTGACTGGTTATAACATTACATCAGTGGCTGGTAATAACATTTCATCAGTGGCTGGTTATAACATTTCATCAGTGACTGGTAATAACATTTCATTAGTGGCTGGTTATAACATTTTATCACTGGCTGGTTATAACATTTCATTAGTGGCAGGTTATAACTTTTCATCAGTGGCTGGTTATAACATTTCATCTGTAGCTGGTTATAACATTTCATCAGTGACTGGTAATAACATTTCATTAGTGGCTGGTTATAACATTTTATCACTGGCTGGTTATAACATTTCATTAGTGGCAGGTTATAACTTTTCATCAGTGGCTGGTTATAACATTTCATCTGTAGCTGGTTATAACATTTCATCAGTAACTGGTTATAACATTTCATCAGTAGCTGGTTATAACATTTCATCAGTAGCTGGTTATAACATTTCATCAGTGGCTGGATACAATTTTTCATCAAAGACTGATTATAATATATCAACAAGTAAATTGAAATAACACGAAAAGCTAGAGAAAGCAAAAAGAAAGCATGGGTAGATCAATCTTAATCCAAAATGATTATCGATCAAACGAGAGCAAATCGTGACCAAAAAAGTTACACGAATATATTGGGAAAAGAAGTACAAAATAAATAAATAAGAATAGATAAATGAGTAAATGAAATAAGATCAATTGGTTCCGGATGGGTAAACACTTTCTACTTTATCAACGACTCCCGTCATACATATCTAGGTCAGTCCTAGTGAATATAGAACTATATTTTGCGTTTCCCACCCTTAAATTATATATTTGGCTAAAATGTTCATGTCATGATAATATTTACATCCAATATTACGCGTTATCGCATACAAACACTCTGATCAAGTGTTATAACACCCATTACATGCATGTACATGTGTATGGCACACATGTAATATGACGTAGTCGTGCTGTGATTGGCTGAAGGTTTCAACTGTTTTTATTGTGACGTCATAGCTTCATGTCGTCATATACACTGAGAGATCATCAAAGATGGAATATCGCGTTTAAAATTTTATATTTGTCTAACAACACTGTTTTCACGAATATCTGCAAAAATATGTAAGATAAACAGAATCTTGTATTCGTTTTCTCTTCATCTCAAATTCATAAAATTTGCCAGGATATTTTCAATTTAAATAAAGAATTATTCGACGCATGAAATTGCATGGATGAAAGCTAATTAAGGTCCAATATATACATACAAGCATTCTCGATACTCCAAAGGTTACGATCACTTTCGCTGTTTGCACCTCTGGAACATGTCATGGTAAAATTTAAGGGTCTGCGTGCGACACCTTGTGGACTCGAGGAAAAGACTAGAATGATCCTTTGATGTACATTAACCGAATCTCGGGGTCGCATAATGGTATATTGTAACGGCTTTGAATTTAGGTGTCCCTCCTGTATAATCTTCAGAAGAAGCGTATTAGGCTGCTATTGGTCAGGGTGTTTTTCTCCTGGAAATAATGAAATTACTTTGCTTGTGTCTTCGATTTTGCCATGACACAATCCAGAGGTGCAAAGATCGAAAGTGATTGTAACCCCTGGAGAATCGAAGATGACGTACAATATTCTCAATATCTTATATATCAGTTTTATATCTTAAATGTTACAAAAATAACACATATTGACTGTAACTACAAACCGTGTTTATTCACCAGTTTGATAAAACATCTAAATTTTTAGAATCGATCGTCTTTCTGCCGAGTATTCAGCTGTTTTCGTTGTATTTCGATGGTTTTCTTGCACTGGAAGAAAAACACATTTATTTCTACAGTCATCGAGGTCATTCGAAAATAAAATGAATTTGGACAACAAATCTACTGAAGAAATAAAAAAAATACGTGTAACGATATTGAGAGAGAATTTTTTAAAAAATATTTATTTAAACTACAAAATGAAATAAAACTAAGTAGTGGTGTTTTAATTCGTATTCTGGAGAACTAAAAATGAACTCCATACCAGGTATAAGGGAGATAACTCGAATAAATGTTAATGGTCCTAACTATGAAAAGCCATTGAGTATTATAGTCATTAGACTTGCCAAGAACGAGTCTATGCTATATGAGGATGCTTTGTCATGCTATTTAATGGAAAAGTAATTAGTAGCTAACCTTAACCTAAAATGGTTGTATTCCTAAATGGGGCTTGGTTATTTAGCATTATTGGGCTTTTGAAATGCAAAAAAAAGTTGTTTTAACATCAGAAAAATGACTTCCACCAACCGGATCAAAACATTTACATACACAAAACAAACCTTTTATGGTCATGGAATAATAAAGAGATTGTTTGTTATGTCTCGTGCGACATAGTCGTGTTAGCGATACCACGCACTGCAGCATCAACATACCTCCTCCAACTGTCTTTGTAACGTCATAGTTGTGTGCAAGCTGGATACTTCATTTGATGACGGGACGTTGATGACGTAATTAGCGAGGATGGTATTATCATCTGACACTGACGTGGTCAACACCAGACGTACCTGTTACACAAAACAACACATCTGTTACACAAAACCACATCTGTTACACAAAACCACACACCTGTAACACAAAACCACACACCTGTTACACAAAACTACATACCTGTAACAAAACCACACACCTGTTACTCAAAACCACACACCTGTTACACAAAACCACACACCTGTTACTCAAAACCACACACCTGTTACTCAAAACCACACACCTGTTACTCAAAACCACACACCTGTTACACAAAACTACATACCTGTAACAAAACCACACACCTGTTTCAAAACCACACACCTATTACTAAACCACACACCTGTTTCTAAATGACACACTTGTTACAAACATAATTCACACACCTGTTACAAAACCACGAGCATGGTACAAATTCACGCATCTGTTACACACAGAAACAACACATGCTTGTTAGAAGCAGTAAATGCATACACCTGTTACACATAGGAATCATACTTGTTACACAGAAACTACACATCCCTTACACACTGAAAACAAACAGTTTAAATGTTTTCTGTTTTTTACTAATTTGTCACATTTACAGGTAACTTAGAATACATATACGTTTCTCTGCATCTCATTTATCTCATATATCTATTTTTTTGATCGATAAGCAAATGAAAAAATTAAAGTTGCCGTTTTGAACACTTCGACGAAAAAATGGGTGTTCAAAAAGAAAAATTTATTTTGATGATGAACTGAGAAAATGAATTGATGAGATCATATACATGTTCCTACCACAATACGTTGTGACATTCCACTCTCAGACCACTGTTAACGTACTGACGCTAGGATAACTATATGATATATACTGATATATATGATCTTCCGGTTTTTTTATTGGTTAAGACGTTGAACTTTGACCGAGGACGATTCACGCAATAAGTAGAACATGTTTTATTTTAGGTCATATAGACACATGGTCGCTGTGTATGGCATTTCTTTCACTCTTGTTAGTTATTTTTCATAAGTTTACAAAATACACCTGCTAAAAATTTATTTTATAACTTTTGAAATTAAATTAAATCAAGTGAAATAAAAAAAAGATACAGACTATTTATAGTTACCATGGCAACGGGTGAGACATTTTTCTTCTGTCGTGAATTCACTAATTATTACCTTTGGTACGAAGCAGAATACTAGAAGTATCGTTGTGGCAAAGACAATGCAGAACTCTGATATCCCGTAATTGAGGTTAAGGTCACTTTTCACAAGAACGGACACCGGTACCCCAAAGATGGACAGAACAGTGCTGGTATATATTGTCATAGCAATGGACTTGGCATCGTTTAGTAAAGTCATGCTGATTTTACGTGTGTTCCATGCTATCACTGCCCCGTACAACATCAGTAACCCGTTATAGCTGAACAGCACGGCTACCCAAAGATAACTTTCTGAGGAACATTTAAAGGTGAATGGTGAAACGTATACATCCTGTCCGTAGTCCTGTAATGATATCAGAATCTTGTAACCAAATACAGGTGAAAAATTCAAGAGAAAAATTCACAAAAAGAACGAAGTCGAAAAAGAAGGTCTAGATTTTTTCGATATACCAAAAACTGTTGACAAGTGTAGGTAACGCACGGCCCTAACACTCACGCAGGGAAGGTATGTCTTCGTGGGCATCATAACTGTGCATTACCCGATTTCTCTGTGTTAGTGTTAGGACTGTGTATTACTCGATTTCTCTGTGTTAGTGTTAGGACCGTGTATTACCCGATTTCTCTGTCTAAATGTAAAGACCGTGCATTACCCGATATCTCTGTGTAAGTGTCAGGACCGTGTATTACCCGATTTCTCTGTGTAAGTGTCAGGACCGTGTATAACCCGATTTCTCTGTATAAGTGTCAGGACCGTGTATTGCCCGATTTCTCTGTGTAAGTGTCAGGACCGCGCATTACCCGATTTCTCTGCTTAAGTGTCAGGACCGTGCATTACCCGATTTATCTGTGTAAGTGTTAGGACCGTGTATTACCCGATTTTACTGTGTAAGTGTTAGGACCGTGCATTACCCGATTTTACTGTGTAAGTGTTAGGACCGTGTATTACCCGATTTCTTTGTGCAAGTGTCGGGACCGTGGATTACTGACGATGAACATAACTGAGAACAATCCAGGTGACCAGAGATGACCATCGCTTACCTCTTTCGTGCCGTTAACAAGCTGATACCGGAGTGGATCCACGATTAACCACGTGATTAGGATGATTGCATCAAAAAGCAAAAGAATGGCGATGATTAAAAACAGCAGCCAGTCCTTGATGTTCTGTGGCAAAATGATATACGATGTAAACAGTTAACAAGTAAGACCGGAAGTGGACGCTGATATTACGAAAGGTAATGGATATTTGATATTTAATATTTAAATCTATGTTTGCCAAACCTCCATGTAGCTAATATATTATAATCGATTTACAATTTTTTTGTAAATGCAATTTTGAAATTGTATTTAAAGACTGAAAGGAATGTATGAAAGAATACATAAATGAATGGGAAAAGGACGAAACAAAAGTGAAAATGTGATCGTGAATTTGAAAATGAAGCTAACCCACTGTGAACATATTACTAGTGTTTATAATGACCTAATAGAAAATGGAATCTTCTATGTAAGGGTCGTATCTCGGCGGAATAGCGTTTAATCTGAAAAGCCACACGATCTTATGATAGAAACACCTTTTTTTTTCGTATGACCACACTTTGATAAATAATTCAGCATTGAACTGCTTTCAGTTGGCACTCATGGGCATATGAATGCCAACTGGATAGGGGCAAATCTAACGAATTTCGTTAGCATTTGAAAGCTTGTATTAACCGTTTCCAATTTTCATCTTTTATGAAGGGAAGGATACCTCAATTTGTTTAAATTGTCAGGATTTCAGTCAGGGGGAAAATGAAAACATGGAATTTCAAACGATTTTATTTAAGGACGCATTCCTCTGAGAAGGAAAAATATCATAGTATTTAACTTTTTTCCTTTTTATGTTTTTTTTTTAATTTTTTTTTAAATGTTTGATTTTAGAAAGTAGATTTAGGCAATTTGCTAATAAGTGAAGAATACCTCAATTCGCTTGTATCGCTTGCAATATTACTACACTGTTGGCAGTTCATGAGCTGGTAATACACAGCTGACTTTGGTAAGGTTACATCTCATCATTTCTACACAATGATTAATATAACGAAGTGACAGACATTACCACAAATATAAAGTATCGATGTAATGATGTACGGAATATTCTAAATTCATGTAAATTCAAAATCAAATATCTACTGCATAATTTTGATTATATAAGTATTTTCGTGGAAATATCTACATCAACATACATAAAAGTTTAGCAAAATAAGTAGAGTGATATTGTAAACAAACCCATTCTCCCCATTTCTAATAACTGCTTCATGAATATACGATTTTTATATAAAATCTCAGATATATATGAGTTGACAAAATGGTAATGAGATTTCTATCTTAGGACAAATCTAAATCATGTCGAGATATGCTATTTTTAGAAACAAAGTGAATTTCATTTTCATCACCATTACAAATTGTGCAGACTCTTCATCGTCTGTGTATGTTATTTATTTGACCAGGGCTTTAGCTACAAAGCTGGTAATTTAATAAATATTCTGTCGGTGTAAATACCTGAAATTCCAAAACTGAGTGTTATCCGAATTTACTCATAGAATAGAGTGTATCTGTAGCCTACAGTATGTAAACAGATAGCAGTGTACACAGCTAACAATATATACAATCATGTACCTGTTTTTTATACTTGGCGTAAGTAATAATCTTGTGAATCCTCCACGCCTTGGCGATTAAAGCGCCATAACTCGCGGTAAATCCAATACTCAGAAACCAAGACTTCAGCTAGTGGGAGAAATTGAAAACAAGATCAGGATTCTCCAAACGCTTTGATTTAAACATACTTCATTTTCTCGACATAACAAGAGGAACAATGCTCACAAAATATCACAACTTAGAAACTTGTTTCTCCAATAGGTAAACACACTTATCTAACAGAGGCTATTATCTTAATGATCCGCTAGAATTCGAACCCGTGTTTACCAGTCTGACGCTAACCGACCGAGCTAAAGATAAGTTATCACCAGTCGTGCTATAGTAAACACTGGTTAGTATTTACTAGAGTTAAACATTATCATTACTTGACTTTGAGATTTACAGCAGTACTGATCATAATTATTTTTTTTAATTTCGTTAAGATTCTATAACATTTGCTATAAAATCAATCTACTACTTCTCATTATCATTTTTATCATACACTTTTATTGAAAATTCGACGTAACTGAAATTTCATTTAAAGCAAATTGCGAAGGAAGTTAGAAATGAGTTCTCAATGCATAAAATATATTTATTCCAAAGCATAACTTTAAAATTTAAATTTATCTATTCCAAAATTATAGTCTTTTTCCTGATATACACTTTTATTGTAAACAATATATTTATTCAGACTTCGATTTTAAACTTTACAATCTATGAACCCTTGTTACAAATAGTATAATAAGTAGTACTGTAGTTGAACCTGGTTGTTTATTTAAACCCATTTTTTTTTTTAAATATTAGTCTGTGAAAACCCGAACTATAAACCACAAATTTATTTTAATCCTAACGATAGACTATTGTTTATTTAAACCGTTGTTGTAAACCGTACATTTATTTAAAGCCTAATTGTAAAAGTACATCTTTTTTACCAGGTCACGACCGGAAGTGACACGTACAATACACACTACAGCAAGGCTGCCTTCCGCCCTATTTTCTATGACTTCCACACCGTGAAGAAGTGATGACGTATACAGAACGATACTTCCGGAACAAATCAAGTAGTTTACCTTCGGACTCGACATTTTCATGATTCTGTCAAAGACAAATATTTCATTGGTAAAGATTCACTTTATAAACATTTATATGAAAATATCTTACATCAAATATATATCCATGCATGGAAGATTTATATATCGGCTTGGCGCACTCGGATTTCTGATACTATATATTGAAAATACAGGTCAAAGATGAAATTAATATTTTTTTCTCTTGGTTTAAATATAAGTATCTTTACATAAGCTATTATATCAATGGCGTCTTTTGATTGGCTAGTTGTATAATTATAAAAAATTCTCAGTTATCAACTTCAATGTGGCCCCGAATGGGTACTAAGCCAATTTAGGAACAGGTCCACTTAAATCTTAAATCCAGAAGCTTTCCTTTGACTGGACGTCTAATGGACAAAATTGTTTAATCGATGAATCCATTATCTAATAATAATATACTTTTTTCTAAAATCTATCAGACATAGACTCATCTGCTTCTCCAAAATAAAACGTGTTCCTCTCGTAATTACATAATATTGCTAATGATGTGACTTTGGATACTACAGTTTTCTGAACAAATTGTGGGTGTGTTCATTCTCTACTCGGGGATTTTCCTATCTTTACATTCAAAGGCTTGTTCAGGACAAACGTACGATGTATTGTCATATATATTATATAATATTATATTTATAAGTTATGGAATAAAAACTATTTATTTGTAATGAAAGAGGAGGATTCCATTCTCGTCTAGTTCTACGAAATGACATAAGCTTTGTCTTTTCTGTCTTTTTGGGATTTTAAGTAAAATAGATAAATAAATAAATAAATAAATAGATAAATAAATAAATAAATAGAGTTGCGATTTCCTCTTTAGTTGTTGTCTTCAAATATATTTCATGATTTCTGATTTCGCTGTCACCTGTTGAAAATCTTCAAATTTCTCTCAGGATTGATATATGTTATTTTCCACACTTTATCTCATATTCGTCTCTAATCTTTCCCGGTTTGGATTATTTTATAAAGTTACTCATCCACACCAATGTAGATGGAATACTGGTGTTACTTGTTTAATGGTGACAGACAACTGAAAACACGGGCATTCCAGAGATGCGGGTTGGTGAAAATTATGGCATCGATTTATGATCGTCATAATAATATCATAGAGATATATTGTGCGATATGAGCTGGACACGTGTGATATTCCTTACTTTACACGTTGTTTCTTTTGTTTTAAATCTTCTCATTAGGGCGCTGAATTCGTTACTGATATCTGGGATCTGCTGCCAGCAGCAATTTGGATATTCTAATAAAGAATCCGGATAAAAGATTTGAATAACAAATCCGCAGCGGATTCGTAACGTGCTGCTGACTTCAGTCCAATGTTCTCATTTGAGAAACTTGACATTACTGACTTGGATTGACCAATATTTTCAAAGCGAGTATCGCCGAAGAAGCAGAAGACGCTTACTCTTCCGGATTGCCTGATCTTATCCTAACTGTATACTTTTTCATATTTTTTTTGTACATATATTGTCCTGGTTTTATTGAATTTCGGATAACGACTCTGTTTAAATGTTGATATTTTCTTCTTGTCGTTGTATATGTAAACACATATTTTTTTATTCATCCTGAATTCTGGAAACATTAACAAAGCAATGGAGAAAAGGAAATTTCAAACAAACAGCTACCATGAAGAGGAGAAATATAAAAAAGATTAAACACAGTCTAAATTAGTATTGGTTTTACCACCCTTCCAAGTTTTACTCACGTTGGTATCACCAGAATTCTTGATAAATATTAGACAACCGGAAGTCTAATAGTGTAACATTAATACTTAAAAATACATCAAAAGACACCAAGATAAGCTTCCATCTGTGTCACAGCTAGGTTGATTATTGTGAACTTAATTGTGCTGAAACGTTCAAATGTTATTTGAGTGTGTATATATATATTTCCCATTACTTTCCTTTATATTTCGTTTTTGTTGTTTCGTGTTTTGCTTGTGTGAAAAAAGACTTTAAATTCAAAGTTTATTTTTGTCTGCAATTAAACTTCTTTTTTTTTTTACCTAAAATGTCCTTTTTTTTCTTGACTTCAGTTATTTCAATAACATACTGATTTCCTATTATCGGACCGGCTGAAAATTTACTTGACGTTATCATAACCTTATTTCCGGTGTGTGAATTAACCGAAGAGTAAAACAAATACCACTATAACTTTACTTCCGGTGTGTAAGATTGACGGAAGATCAATTAATCATAATACGCTATATTCGAGAGTTTTCATTGAATCGTAATATACGTATTTTTTAGATTATGAATTGCATCATTATATCTTTAACCAAACCGTTACTTCCGGTGCAGACTATCTGTGCCGTAGATAGCAATAGAGAAAGCAATAACAGCTCGGGAATCTAACAAAGCAAAAACATGCGAACTCAGATATATCATAATCTTACTTCCGGTGTTTCAGCTAGCCAAAAGAGAGGGTTGGATTTGTTCGAGAAAATTAAATGCTATCATTATCTTACTTCCGGTGTCTGAATTTGACGTTGACTCCCAACAGGAAGCACGTGAAGATAACACCACAGGCTGCCAGTGTCATCACAGAATAGGACAAGAATTCACTGACATCGCGCAGTTCTCTTAGTACCCGTGGGCCATCCAGAGGAGGAACTGAAACACAATATATGATATATATATATATCTAAAACAAACAGAAATATTTGTTTTCAAGTGTAATAGTCAAAACTATGACACATAAATTGCAATCAGCCAGGAGGTTGGTAATTTTGCTGATCACCGAGCTGACATTTCATGACCAATTCAATGTGATGTGAAGACCAACCCTTCAGTTCTCAGGCACTGTAGACTAAGTCTGGCAAGGTTCATATCAAATTGTGTTTTCTTCTTAATCAAAGTGAATTATTCATGAGAATACGATGGAGGAGAAAAAACTTTCTGATCTCTTAAAATGTGTATCTGTAGCGGACAAGGCATGGCATATCTTTTTTCTTTTGATTTCATTCAAAAATTAAAAAAAAAACTTTTAAATAAAGTGTAATGAAGTACATTCTATATCAGCTCAACAATTCTCGGCATTTGTTTTCATTCCAAGAAAAAATTGGATTCTCTTGATCCGAATCTGTTTTTTCCTAGATACATACCAAGCCACTCCTTACTGTGTTAAGGTCATTCAGTGGTCATGCATAGAGAACCACTTCTATGCTAAACAGACCTAGGTTAATGTTAAAAAATATTCATCAAATTGAAGATATGCGTTACTTTGCCAAAATGTTTGAACACATGGTCCATATTTTGCTCTAATTAAACATTATACACGGCCATTTAAGAAACAAAAAAAAAAAACTTGAATAATTAAGAAATGCATTACTATGAAATTGATTTGTAACTTGATTCGTTGCCATGTGATATGTACCCAGAACGAGGCTAATTATCTTTAATCTTATTAACGAAGATTGATTGATGTGTTATATGAGAATTTACGATTTTAATTAATTTTGTGTATTAGAGAATTTCATCGCGTAATTCGTAATAAAACACGCGAGTTTTAATTTAAAATAAAACTGAAGAGTTCCATTCCATTCTGTCAGCTTTGCACAGGATGAAAAGATAAACCTTCATTTGTGCAACATCAATAATTTGGCACCAAATTATAGCTCCGATGATATTTGTGAGTTAATTACAGATGGCGGTTTTAGAACATATGACATCTTGATAGTTTTTCTATGGGGCTAGTTAGTACATCTGTGTATTACTTGCTAGAAATGGATGTTTATTTTAAAAAAAAACGGTCAGTATCTTTCATTTCTTAATTATGCAAGTACATGTGTGGAGAAAAAACAAAAAAGTGTAACACACGTACATGTGTGAAGAAAAACAAAACAGTGTAACACACGTACATGTGTGGAGAAAAAACAAAACAGTGTAACACACGTACATAGGGTAGGGAAACAAAACAGTGTAACACACGTACATGTGTGGAGGGAAACAAAACAGTGTAACACACGTACATGTGTGGAGGGAAACAAAACAGTGTAACACACGTACATGTGTGGAGGGAAACAAAACAGTGTAACACACACACGTAGGGAAACAAAAACTGTGTAACACACGTGGAGGGAAACAAAACAGTGTAACACACGTACATGTGTGGAGGGAAACAAAACAGTGTAACACACGTACATGTGTGGAGGGAAACAAAACAGTGTAACACACGTACATAGGGTAGGGAAACAAAAACAGTGTAACACACGTACATGTGTGAAGAAAAACAAAGCAGTGTAACACACGTACATGTGTGGAGGGAAACAAAACAGTGTAACACAAATCAAACAAATTTTCAAAAATGTCAAATACAAGATAATTGCCTGTCGGTCATTTTAAACTTGATAACAATTATAAAAAGGTACCTTTCAGGTGAGTTTTAGAAGATACGTTTGTTAAATGTAGTACATTTTATATAATATTTTAAGAGCTAACTGAATGATACAGACTATGTATAACAAAATGATTTCACCACGTCATCTTCAAAGTAAACATTTTGTTTAAAGTCGCTTACGTCCATTTCTAGTTTTCCATTTATACGCCACGCTCTGGTTTTGCAACGTCCCCACTGTCAAATCAAACGTTGAAAGATGAATGTAATCACCATCTGAAATAAAATACAATACCGTACGTTTATTTTCAAAATCCATAATCTAGATGCGCCATGTTCGTCCATTAGAATCGATATTCTACATCAGATATAGATAGACAATAAAGCTATCTGATTATCGGGAGATTATCGACAATTATTGAAAACAAAAACAAAGGACAATAACTCCTTCAAAACTTACTGAATTAAATTGTTGTGTAGGAAAACGCTACTTCATATCATGGTGATTTAAGCATTCAATGTACCAAGATTGAAAAAAATTGATCGAAAACGGAGAGGTCTCCGGATAAGGCAAACATTATTAATAAGATAATGGGCATTAACTCGACCAAATATTATCAAATCAAAGTGTCATTCAGGAAAACACTACTTCATGTCATGATGATTAAAATTATCAAGTTTGAAAAAAGATCGGTTGAAAACTGTGCGAGGAGATCGCCGGATAAATTAAAATTGACGATGGACGGGAGGACAACGTCATATTATTATACGTCCCGTCAAAACAATTTAAGGGCGAATAAAAACACCCAAAAATACCAACATTTCAACAGCATCATCATATAAACTCAAATAAGATAAAATCTATGGCAAAATATTAACAAAAGAAATATTTAAATGGAGACCCCCGGAAACGTACAAAGAGAATAAGATCAGGTGTTCCGGAAGAGTAAGCGCCTCCGTCTTCATCGATGACAAAATACAGAACCAGGTAATAACACAACCACCAGGTATACTAATGAGTATCGGTCATATCCAACGCTATATCGCACAATGATATAGAATAATTAAAAAATCAGATCTTGGGGTAGAACAAAGACGCCCATTAAATGCAAAATATGGGTCAGCATGAAGAATGGATTGAAATGAGATCCATTTTCGCGTCTTAAATCTACGTTTGTAATGAACACGAAGCACCAATCCAAATTCGTGCCGATTTGGATTTTCCCACAGGAGTTATCGATTACAACAACAACAACAACAAAGTTTTACGTTAACAATAACAACTGAAAGCTATATCCTGGTCAAATAGTGTCTGAAATATAGAGTGTTCCGTTTAGATAGGTTCCGCGTCATTACATACCGATGAACTGCAGTATCTTTGTCAAACCAAGTCGTAATCCGTTCCCATCAAACTGAATATTTCCCTAAAAATATAAAACGATTGTGCTGAAGTGCTATGCTGGGCAACTCTTAAATCCTCGACCTACCTTTCTATTTCTTTGTCTATCTTGTTGAATACAAACAATTTCATTATGCTTCATACATGTATGTACAGTCGAACTTCGTTATCTCGAACTCGTTTATCTCGAAGTTCCCGTTTTCTGAGAAGCATTTCCTCGGTCTCTGCCTAACTTTACACAAGACATTCTAAATCACGTAAATCTAATACTCAATTATCTCGAAGTTTTCTCATGGTCATGCCGGAGTCCGAGATAACGAGGATCGTATTTCATATAAGTGTTCAACACTTTTTTTCCAAATACATTTCGATTTCTCGTCATATATTAATTATATAATTAACGTATGTTAGATAGGAATGAAAAGGGTTAATGTTAAAACGAACGCCAATATAGGGCGTGTTACTACCAGTATTCTGTTATTAAGTACGTGAAACCATTCTAATGTTGCAAAGATTTTTTAAGATCGTTTAAGTTTACAGTCATTATGATACAAAAATGGATATCTAATTGAAATTATTATAAAAAATATTCTAAAACAGCTCAAACATTCCGGAAGTAGGCAACTTCCATCAGAATTGATGATACGCTTGACTTATTTGACCAATGTATAGCAAGTCTCAACTGATACATACTGATATTCCGGCGAAGGACACAGACCCCAACGCATTAAATAGCAGGTTTTTCATATCATCTCGACTGTACGTGAAGTCTTCCCATCCTTCCCCACGCTCCGCCATTATGTCTAATGTTTTATTCAGCGCATGGGCAATCATCCATATCCCGTCATAACCGGAAGGGGCGTACTCCTTCCCTCCATATTCCCCACTAGAGGTTCGTGCCGCGAATTCAGTTGCAAATTCTCTTGGGTTCTGAAAATGTGGATTAAGTTGAAATATAGAAGCATACTTATAGACAAACACAAAAAAGGATGTTATTTCACCCGAAACCCGGTGATAGAAAAGACAGTTATTTATTCTAGTTTATGCTATCTGATGTTAAAACAACATAATATCGCGTGTTTTTTGTAAACAAACAACAAAGGGCACATTTACATATCAACAGAATCTTAATTCATATTATTCAAAATTCAAAATAAAAACCAAAGAGAAAGATTTACTAGGAGACCCCTTCAACAATTACAATGTGTTCCGGAAGAGTAAGCATCTTCTACTTCATCGACAAGAATATCGGTCAAGTAATTAATGTCACGTTCCCAAATAAGAACAATGTTTTCTAAAATGGACCCATCAGATAAACTAACCAGAATCACTGTTGTTTTACTGCTGGTTTAATATTGATTTAAACGAATTTACTAAGAAACAACATTATAATACTGGAAACATCAATTTTTTAATTTATTTTAGCGCTTTTCGCACACAAAGTATTGCGCAATTTGCAGTATCTGTATGTTGTTGTTTACATAGCAATTTTTTCGGATGCGTGAATGCAATATTTCGCTAATTTGTAAAAAAAAATGATAATTGATTAAATCTTCATTGAACTAAACAAAGGACGTTTACAGTGCGTGATTTGGTCAATACTAATAGTCAATGTTACCTTCCCTATGTCAGTTGGAGTTTCCGGATCAGCAATAGAGACAACTTGAAAAGCAAGATGTCCGCCGATTGAAGATTTGAGTTCTTCAGTGTTACAGTCTGTGAAGGTGACATTCCACCATTGTCTCGTGAACCAGCCTGGCAGGAACCACGTGTAAGACGTGCCCGTCATTCCCAATCTATACGCCTATAGTAGGGAACATCACAACGAAAAAAAGTCACTTATTTCATCACGAATTATCTTATATAACGCAGAACCATGAATTTCCTCGTCACTCAGTTTACACGTGACTAATATGTTTACCTTACACAGGTTACACGTGACTAATTTGTTTACCTGACACTGTTTACACGTGACTAATTTGTTTACCTGACACTGTTTACACGTGACTAATCTGTTTACCTGACACAGTTTACACGTGACTAATCTGTTTACCTGACACAATTTACCTGTTACTAATCTGTTTACCTGACACAGTTTACACGTGACTAATCTGTTTACCTGACACAGTTTACACGTGACTAATCTGTTTACCTGACACAGTTTACACGTGACTAATCTGTTTACCTGACACAGTTTACACGTGACTAATCTGTTTACCTGACACAGTTTACACGTGACTAATCTGTTTACCTGACACAGTTTACACGTGACTAATCTGTACACCTGACACAATTTACACGTGACTAATTTGTTTACCTGACACTGTTTACACGTGACTAATCTGTACACCTGACACAATTTACCTGTTACTAATCTGTTTACCTGACACAGTTTACACGTGACTAATCTGTTTACCTGACACAGTTTACACGTGACTAATCTGTTTACCTGACACAATTTACACGTGACTAATCTGTTTACCTGACACAGTTTACACGTGACTTATCTGTTTACCTGACACACGTGACTAATCTGTTTACCTGACACAGTTTACACGTGACTAATCTGTTTACCTGACACAGTTTACACGTGACTAATCTGTTTACCTGACACAATTTACCTGTTACTAATCTGTTTACCTGACACAGTTTACACGTGACTAATCTGTACACCTGACACAATTTACCTGTTACTAATCTGTTTACCTGACACAGTTTACACGTGACTAATCTGTTTACCTGACACAGTTTACACGTGACTAATCTGTACACCTGACACAATTTACACGTGACTAATCTGTTTACCTGACACAGTTTACACGTGACTAATCTGTTTACCTGACACAGTTTACATGTGACTAATCTGTTTACCTGACACAGTTTACACGTGACTAATCTGTTTACCTGACACAGTTTACACGTGACTAATCTGTTTACCTGACACAGTTTACACGTGACTAATCTGTACACCTGACAAAATTTACCTGTTACTAATCTGTTTACCTGACACAATTTACCTGTTACTAATCTGTTTACCTGACACAGTTTACACGTGACTAATCTGTTTACCTGACACAGTTTACACGTGACTAATCTGTTTACCTGACACAGTTTACACGTGACTAATCTGTTTACCTGACACAATTTACCTGTTACTAATCTGTTTACCTGACACAGTTTACACGTGACTAATCTGTTTACCTGACACAATTTACACGTGACTAATCTGTACACCTGACACAATTTACACGTGACTAATTTGTTTACCTGACACAATTTACACGTGACTAATCTGTTTACCTGACACAGTTTACACGTGACTAATCTGTTTACCTGACACAGTTTACACGTGACTAATCTGTTTACCTGACACAGTTTACCTGTGACTAATCTGTTTACCTGACACAGTTTACACGTGACTAATCTGTTTACCTGACACAGTTTACACGTGACTAATCTGTTTACCTGACACAGTTTACACGTGACTAATCTGTTTACCTGACACAGTTTACACGTGACTAATCTGTACACCTGACACAATTTACCTGTTACTAATCTGTTTACCTGACACAGTTTACACGTGACTAATCTGTACACCTGACACAATTTACCTTTTACTAATCTGTTTACCTGTTTACCTGACACAGTTTACACGTGACTAATCTGTTTACCTGACACAGTTTACACGTGACTAATCTGTTTACCTGACACAGTTTACACTGTACCTGACACAGTTTACTCTGTGACTAATCTGTTTACCTGACACAGTTTACACGTGACTAATCTGTTTACCGGACACCTGACACAGATCAATTTAATTTAGTTATATTTCAAAACAATGTTTATTAATTTTTTAACTAGAATTGCTGAAAATTACAATGATTTAGTGATTTATCCTAATACAAAGCCTTTTACCTGACACAGTTGACGTCACAATGCATTGTGGTACCTGACACAGATATACTGTACTAGATAATCCATTTACCTGACACAAGATTAAAAGTAAAATAAAAAAATATAATTAAACAGTGACCAACATTAACAAGAAATTAAAAAAATTAGATGTAACAAAAAACTACTCTAAAAATAACGAATCACGAAGGCTTTGTTTATCGATCTAAATATAGCTCCATGTTGATTATAGCTGCCACAAATTTATTTGATACATACACATAAAATGATAAGCTAATCTGAACAATATCCATGAAACGTACACTGACGTCATAGCTATCACATCTTATTCACCTTGATGTTTTGTAAGGCTACAGTCGCGTCCGAGTGAAACGTCTCCGACGTGATGATCTCAAAATCATTACTGATAAACAAGGCTTGTAGGTCAGTCATAATCTGTGAATAAATTTAATATCTTCAACCAGAATTGCGTTTCAAACGTGTTTAATCTGTGAGCTAACTCTCAAAATGGACATAGATATTTTTTTTATTTAACGATTCGGAATTCACATTGTATTGTAAGCTATTTGAAAGCATCATATATTTTTTTCTTTTATTTCTCGTATTGATGATGAACGAACCGTGGAAAAACTTCCATCCGTGCTGTATAAAAATGCCGCCCTTTTCCATCCAAACGCTTTCATGACGGCGATTTTGGGCTGGTTCGTTACAGACTCTGTCGGGAAGGCTCCAAACAGCAACGGATATAATTCCCTGTTGTTCAGGTCTGGTGAATTCGCGGCATGTGTTACCTTAGAGATAAAAAAGTATTGTTTGTCTTATGTATCTACTGTGTAAAACTATATATAGAGAAAACGCGAGGGCGGATTTTAGCTTGGACAAAACCAAAGCTATTCGGTTACACCGCACTGTTTGCACATGACAGTTTCACTAGGGACTTTTTAGGGATTCACTCTCAAAGCACTATAATAGTTTTTAGAACACGTTTTTATTACTTTTCTCCGATAGTGGCATCGTCTTACAGTCAAAAGAGAAGACATAAAATTCAACATAACTGAAAAGACATAAAAATACCAGATTTTATTAGGGTTTACTTTCAGGTTGTCGATGGAAACACCAAAAAACGAATCAAATCAAAGCAAAGGAAAGATGGAAAGAAAATGGTGATCACACGTGATACAGGTGACATACTGAGAACACTAGATCGGGCTGGGTCGTTTAAAATAAAGTAAATAGTACAAAAAGAAAAAGATATATATTTCGTGATAAATAAAAAGGGGAGGCAATACTAGGGATGTTTGTATGTTTAATTGATCATTTATAGTTTCTTTGTTCGCTGGGCAGACCGATCTCAACACCGGTTATAGTCGATCATAATCATATGATTTTTGAGGAAGATTCACCTATTCCGGAAAAAAGCGATGACGTTTTTTGTTTTCAATTTTTTAAATTCCAAGATGGCCGTCTTCCGGATACGACCAATATAAACATGGTAAAAGTTAATTTCATCCCCGGGTCCTCACGAAATAGAGGCTAACAAAAGAGAGACCGACAAGTGGACGACATGATGGTGATGATAAGCCAACATACAAGAGGTTTCTTTTTATTAATTTCCCTATATTTCAGGTTATCGATAAACCGACAATCGGTTGTGATGTCATTTCTCGGTCAGCCATATGTAAGATAACACCTTAACTAATAAGGCTGGCATTTCGAGTCGGAACACATACAAACATCACTATTTGTATTCCTGAAGGTTTGACTTCCTGGATTAGCGTCAAGAGTCGTTGAGATTAATGACGGACTTTCACGAACATTGACACGTGATATTTCTATCTCCTGCTAATGTTTCCATCACTACTCCCGACAGGAAATTAAGCTTCATATGTATCCGTAATTCTGCAATATACGTCTATCTTTTTCTCTTGTAATCATCAGGGTCTTCATCTCAACTTAACTAACATAATCCTTGTTATGAAAACCTGAAATAGATCTGTAATTATTTATAAACCACAGATAAAAAAAATACATGTGCATGTCGTGACTATCACACAAGGTGCGCGAGAACAACGCTAAACAATCATAAATTGAACGGCTAAATATTCATCGTCACACTATTGTAATTAAAATCATAGCTACACGTGTACAAATGTTTTTATCTGATTCAAATACAGCCATTTATCAAATCTGTGACTTCATTCATAATTTCGAGGACGCTTGAAAGGAAGCCGATATAGCATGTCAGAGAAACATTTACGTTGTGTACTCCTTGAAACCTCAAGAGTGTGAATCGAGAGTCTTCACTGATATCTGTTAAGGACGTGTCTTGGCAATGGAGCGTCTGTGTTTACTGTCCATTGTCTCATACGCCTTGTTTTTATTCCTCGTCATCAGCGGTGGGGTCGGGGGGGGGGGGGGGGTCTGTTGACTGATTTGGGTAGACGCAAATCAATGTCTGAAGCTGATAATCATGGATGGATTTTTTTTATGTGTTAATCAATATCCCTCTAGGTGAACAGCAGTTGAATATATGATTTAGATAAATACACAATATAATGTAAATACAAGCCGCAATATACAGCTCGGTTAGTGAAAAATTCTCTTTATCTCGATCGCTTGAGCGCCAGTCTAGTAAGCCAGGGGCCCCGCGTTCGAACCCTAGCGTGGCATTGAAATAAGCGATGACCTCTGCTATGATAACAAAATTTACACCAAACGTCGTTACCTAAAGGTTGAATTGGACAATTCTATTCAAACCAGTAATCACATTTTTAAACTGAAATTATACATAACAAAAAAGAGGAGAATTATCTTCCTGTATAATGTTTGATGCTATTCATGGCATTTCACATGAAGATCTGGGTATTTTACCACATCCTTTGGTGTTAGGAAAGGAAACGTCGCCTCAATTAAAAAGAAATCAGATATAAACATTGGTTGTAAGGGTCGGAAGTTCCATATAGTGCTATGTATTGCTAATCTACTGCCCCAGGCAATAGATCGATAAAGTCCGTTTTTTCCTCCTTCAGTTCTGTAGACCGACTCACACTGACTGCCCTTGGCGACCACACAAAGGCGAACACCAGGTGTGTTGTAACGTTGAAAGTGAGGAAATTCAGTCAATAATTGAAATAACTCAGTATTGCAGGAGAAATTCTGAAGTAATTACTTGGCCTATGGTGTGAAAGAATACTTATAAAAAATCTTATTAACTTGGGCATATTGTGTTGTATGTTATTTCGTCCGCCGAGACCGTTTCAATGAAAATTCATGTCTAACTTTTTTCTCACCTTATGCACAACACGGCCGTAATGCAACAACACAGTTACGTCATACTTCTATCGCTTTTGTATCAAAGCAAATGCCTTGTCATCACAAAAAGGCCAATACAATAATGATACACAATAATTACCATGTTTTTAAACACATTCCTTATAGTCGCTATTGGCAAAGACCCGGATGACACTTTACGACAAACAATGTCGTAAAGAGGTCCAGTGTTTTAAACATTATTTTCTCGTGTGATTACTGATAAGAAGTATTTCAAAGATGAATCATTTATAAGTTAGTTCGTTTTCCTAGTTTGATCTTCAGCATGTTGTGTAAACTTTTATGATAAATCTTACAGTGATTGCCTTTTGATGAGGTCAATTTATGGTTTTATCAACCTACAAGTAAGAGAGACCGGCGGAGCTCGTTTCCCAGAAGACTTACATTAGTCACGTACCTGAACCAAGTTCCAGTATGGCGCTACCTGTGCTATCGGTTTTGTTGCCGAACTACATCCTGGTCCAAATATGGCGACTTTTTGTGGTTCTGCATACAGCTGGTGAAACAAACTCTGAACAGCAATCCCGGTGTCACACTGTCAAAAAAATGTAATGTATATATACTGAGAGGAAAAAGAAACGCAATTAGCAGAAAGTTAATATTGTAAATTAAATCCTTGACGTACACCCTTGAAACTTGACAAATGTGTGAATTTGAGTTAGGTCCCTATGGTAAAATCACTGATGCATAACTAAACTGCGCACGCCGCTTGTACAAAAGAATAAGAGACAAAAGCACGACTTTTCGAACCCAGTATAAAGGATTGGTTCAAAATCTGTGTGTGCGAATCTTCAGACATATCCATCTTGACTTCCCACATTTTAAGCATAAACAGTTCACCGTTAAAAATTCCTCGACTGCCCGAAGTTGACAGGGGTCGTGCCATTGCACTTCTTATGCAAGGTACCCCGCAAAATCAGGTCGCTTATCCATTTGGAGTCCATCCATCGAACATTTGCTGTCTCATCCAAAGACTACATGCCACCGGAAGGGTTGCAGACCGTCCCCGAAGCAGTCGCCCGCGTGTGACGACGCGTCGGCAGGATAGGGCAGTGCGACAAAGACAGTGCGTTCTCGACTGCGTGCCTTCGGTCTAAGACCGTGGCTGCCATATCTTGGACCACAGCTTAAAGCACGGCGACGTGCCAGACTAATGCAATGGCTGAACGCACATTCCGTGAGACGCTTCCCAATGCAACGTTGGAGAAGGGTTTATTCTCAGATGAGTCCGGGTAGACGACCGACATCGTGTCTATAGACGTACCCACGAGCGTTATGCAGATCCTTGCGTGATAGAGAATGACCGCTTTGGAGGAGGATCGGTCATGGTATGGGGAGGGATTGCGCATGGTATCAAGATTCCTTTGGTCGTTATTCAGGGAAATATCACGGCCGTCCGTTATAGAGATCAAGTCCTAGCTGCCGCATGTTGTTCCTCTAGTACAGCAGCCTCAACTGACGTTTCAGCAGGACAACGCCCGGTCGCATGTAGCGAGGGTTTGCCGTGGTTATATCGCAGCAAACAATGTCCCCACCCTAGACTGGCCCCCATACAGCCCTGACCTCTCCCAATAGAACATTTATGGGACGAGTTGGACAGAAGGATAAGACGTAGGCCGAATCCTCCAATCAACGTCACTCAGTTGGCTTTGGATCTGGATGAGAAATGGAATCGTATACCAATGAGGAGGGTTAATACCCTGATCAATTCAATGCACAAAAGAGTTCGTGCAGTTACTGCAGCTCGCGGGGGGCACACACGATATTGATGGGTCCAGAACGCACTTCATTTTGAGTGAGATACTCTTGAATCAACGTCAATTTTGAAAGGTTTACTTAACGTACACGAATGAAGTTCTCGTAGATGACAGAGTGGTCAACTGTCTTCCAGTTACACCATGATTACATTCTAAAACCCTTTTCTATGTCCCGTAGTTGACCTGGAAATTCCTAATTGCGTTTCTTTTTCCTCTCAGTATATATATATATAGCTGATACGTGATGTCTGCCCGAACAACATGGAGTGACGAATATGGGTCATGTTTGATAAACGGGTTAGGACGCTGTGACGGCGATGCTAATTTGAAAATAGAATATATAGATAAAGCCGAGTCGGAATGATGACAAAGCTAAAGTATGAATACATACAATGGCTATATTTATTTATCTTATCTGAAACTTTCTTTTCTTATCCAAAATAAATAAATCAATAGATAAATAAAAATGAATGAATAAATATATAAATGATAAATAAATAAGTAAATAAATATTAAATAAAAAATAGATAAACGATCAAATAAAAAAGTACATTAATAGTTAAATAAAAATAAATAAATAGATAAAGAAATAAATAATCTAATAAATATGCAAATAAAGAAAAATAAAAATTAATAAATAACCAATGAACGAATAGATAAATAGAATAAATTAGATAGATAAATAAAAGATAAAATTAAGTAACAAACGTTTATAGTGTATCTAATGTCTAATAACCTCAAATACAGAGTAAACATGTTGTCATCTACGAATATATATTTAAAACAATCGATATGATTGGAACCGTCGGGTAAATCGATAAATTATCAATTTTATCATAAGTAGTTGTTTAGATTTGTCTTTATTTCATTTTTTACACAGATATATACTCAAGGGACAAAGACGTTGAGTATAATGTTCAATATTTTTAAATAAGAATGAAGATAATTCATACAGAATATATAGCAAAATCAACAATTTGTATCTGGTAAGTGATTTAGGAGTAATTGAAGGGAACTGAAAGAGAACTCTGTAATCTTAAATCGAAATGGACTGATTGTGGGAGTTGGCTAGTCAGTACCGGGCGGGCGCCCAGATGTAGGTCTGTCAACAACCCGCCCAGTTTCCCTAAGACGTCTAACAAGAAGTTCTATACTGCAAATATGGACACGGAAATGACTGTAACCTCTATTTGCCTTTGACCTCGCATAATCATCGCATTGGCCGCACCCCTCTGAACTTCTGTCAGCCGTGCCATTGTTAAATGCTATCAGAAATGAATCAAAATATCAGAAAATGATGTGCCTCTATGAAGACTATGTAATGGTATGACGAGAAGTGTAACTCAATATCACAACACTGCTGTGCATGAGATTTCCCCGTTTCGTGCTTTCCCCGGAAGACATCGTCAAACAATACAATAATGCATCATTCGATAGAGGACCACGTGTACTGTAACCTAGAGAGGTGTCTGGCCGATTTTCATCGTTTTTGAACAACGCTTGCAAGATATTGCAAATCATGTCACCTTGCGTTTCTTTACCCCTTGAGTACAGTTAAAGACTACCTCGTATGTGATTGCAAATCATATTAAACAGGGTAACATAACATCAGGAATGGATATAACAAAAAAATGTAAGCTAGTAAATTATCACTAATGCTCTAAGCTGAATCGTGCATTGTCGATGAAATAGTTTTTTTGAAGCTAATTTATAGGGATTCAGTGTCTGAGTTTGTAAACAAATCGATAATTGTAGACAAAGGTCACATCAGATGTGGTATTGCCTTGGTGTGTGCAAAGGGGTAAAATATCTATAAAAACAGACGCGGAAGGCTTACATAATCTGCTGGACTATCGATTTGTCTTCAAGAACAAAAACAGATATCTCCCCTTGTTAGATGAAGCAAGTATGTATATTTGTGTATTATTGGGAAAAAATCGCATTAACTTGACTTTTGATCTTTAGATCAAGAGACCTATCGGTATGGCACAGTACATCGGATTTAGATATTGCAAATAAACGTTTAAGTTTTGTCAAAATATATTTAACGTTGTAGAAGTTTTGTTAGTAACACAAAACGACGAAAAAACCCAGAAGAGTCCGTAATAATACAATATGTCTCTCTTCATTCGAAGTAGCGACATCATGACTCGGATAACTAAAATTATCTTGTATGTACAGAACATTGCAACTGCTACTGAAATCCTTAGAAAGACTTTAATACTTTGGCAGAGTTCCAAGTTAGGCCTTGCATTGAACAAACATTCTAGCCTTTGACCTTGAGGTCAAGGCCACATAGATATATCACGGCAACGTACTGCACTTCAGCGTTAGGAGATAAAAATGTATATAAACTTTCATTAAGATATCTTTAACAGCTTAAATGTTACCGCCCGGACAAGAATTCATTGAAAAATCTATATTTATTTGACCTTTGACCTTGATGTCAAGGCCATAGTGGTTTATCACGACAGTGTACTGCAAATCGGCATTAGGTAATAAAGATGTACAGCTTCCTTCATTGAGATATATTTCACGATTTAAAAGTTATTGCCGGACAAGGAATTAGCGAAACCAGACTCAGAGCCAGTACATTAACAATATGTCTCCCTCCCTTCGTTCAAATGGGAGACATGATAAAAATCTGGACCAGAAAAAAGGAGTACCTTATATATATGTATGTACCGCTGACTAAGAGTTTATGTAGATAGTGAGATGGACGAAGGGAGAAATCCAGATAACGAAGATAAAATAGAAAAAAAGATAACGGAAATTTTATGAGTTCACCTGTTTTCTCATTTCTGTCGACAAAACGACAGTTTTGAAATCAATGGATATTGTGAAGTGTTTAATGTTGGATTCATTACCAATTTCACCTCTCATTTTTCTGTAATTTTGCTGTCAAGCGTTGTAACATAGAGACAGGTTGGCAATAAATATGTTCTAATTTTAATCACAAAGAGTAGGTGGTGACAACACGTAGTGCAATGACCTATAAAGGGGTTGAGAACACGCGTTCAAACCTTTCGTATTTGTGATAATCTTAAATCGATTCATATGGCATGTATTATAGGTCTTCAATTAAGTGATTTTTCTTCTACTGAATAATCAGCGCCGTCGTTTAGGAACCCAAATAAGTATTCAAAATCAATAATCCTATCAGAGTATTAACGACAAAACCAGGAAGCACCTGAGCTTCACGTGCATTAACGTAATTAAAGATTTATAAATTTAGCATTTGAAATTCGCTTGCTACAGTTCGGTCCACTTCCATTTCTCCCTGGCGTTTTGAAGTAATGTTACAAAGGTAATTTTCCCTGTTAGGTCTAAGATAATACCGGTATCAAACAAGTTGATACGTCATTTGCCATATCGCAACAAATTCAGCAAAAATACTTTCCAATTGTCGTCTTAAACATGTATTTTCGGAATCTTGTTTTAAGATATTGCAATTTTATATACTTTAAATTTACTGTTTATTTATTTTACCTTACTGTTATTCCAGGCCATTCTTAAGTCGTATTCCTTCAGAATTGTGTCATCATTGTTCACATCCTCGAGCGCCATCTCTGCCGCCGGAAGTATACCGGAGCCATCCCACAATCCATCTTGCATCGGGAAGAAACCGCCGATGTAAATTGGTATCTTGGATTTGATTGGTTGGAAGTGGGATACGATAATAACAAATGCGAGAATAGTGGACGAATCTAAAGATGGAGTCGATAACTGAAATACGAAAACATCGCACTCTTCATTTATCCTTTAATTATAAATACGGGCTGTCGAAAGAAGAAGAGAGTCGGAAAAAATAGATTATATTATCGTGGTGACCATTTTGGAAATGAACAAGTACCTACAGGTTAATGTCCTATTTTTTTGCTAATAAAACAAAAGAACACGTGCATTGTCGAAAAAGACCCGTTTCCTAAAAATACCAAATATTTGTATACATTTGTATATCTGTTTAGATTTACAATAAAATGTACACAAAGCAAAAAGATGAGGATTGCTACCTGTCGGAAAAAGCAACAAACTTGAACATACAGAACATACATTTTACCATACTTATGATCAAGTGCCCCCATTCAGAGCAGCTTGCGATAACAAGACATAACAATACTGGACTATGTTTGGTCACTTGGGCAACTTATCCTAACCATCCAATGTATATACCGTAAAAAAATTGAGTAAACTTGTAATTTATACCTGTATCAAAACTTCAGTCTGTCTCAAACAGTCCAAACCGGAACTTGTACCAAACAAATCGGATATTAACTTGTGATAATTGTGTGTAAAAGATTTTGTAACATCGTAACAACTAAAAGCATGGAAACAAACGGACAGATGATGGTAGAGAAGGCATAAAAGGTACATGTGATATTACAAATTCATATTGAACATATTGTAACGACGAAACTGGCGTCGAATTAAAAGACATATTTCAACTCCGAACGAATGAAATATAGAAATGTTGTATTTCAAAAGCAAACCCTGATCTAGAAATGACTAAATTCGTGACTGATGAATTATAAGAGAACTAGACTCTTCAAAACTCCGATATCGGTAACCAAATCAACATGGGTGACATTCAGAGTTATTTTCGTACAAATAATCGCGAAGGATTTAAATTATCGATTGACTCTCCCAGCGTATTAACGCGAAAATAAATTCCACGCGAAATAGAAGTGATGTGCCGTATTTCCATTGTGTTACCAATCAAATACGAAAACCATGGACAAAATTTTATAACACCGTAGATTTGACAAGCGTAAAGATGTCAAATATGCCGTTCGTATGAGAACATTTCAATTCAATTGTGACGTCATTATGTGACGTATTGTTCTATAAGAGTTACTGTTCATTTGTAATTACCTATATCACAAAACAGTATTTTATCAAATGATGATACCACTGACGATTTCTGTAAACTGGTGACACCACAAACATCCCACATGACTTTTACCATTTCTATATGTAGTTATTTACTAACATAACTATAGGCTTAACAAGGCATGACAAACTTATAAGCTACATTAGGACCCAGCCATGTCCTCGTTGTATGGTTTAAAATAGATCTTATACCTTAGATATCAAACATTCAAAATGCAACACCATTTACAAACTGTTCATGATATTGGTGTGACTCAAATGTCCATGATGTTATCGTCTTAAAATAATTATTTAAAAATAATTGATAATAAATATATTGCAGGTAAACAAAAGAAATTCACACTAAAGGAATTATCTCTGTGATAGTCTATTTACGTGGTAATGGTAATATATTAAAAACAATTGTTATCAACTTGATATATAACAAAAATCGTACACTTTGGTCTCCTAAAAGTTTGGCTCAGGTCACTTTTAGATTTCTTGTTTCAAAATTTGATATTACCAAGTTTGATTTCTTACAAAACATAAAAGTGTATATATGTTGATAAGTGGAGATAAGTAAATTTCTGTAGTTCTAGTATCTTTTTAAAATTTTTGAAAGCTTAACTTAATTTCTGGTAACACCACGGATATTTTCAACTGCCAGTTGATAGTTACTTTGTCAGGGTAACGGAACATGTGAAACACCAGACAGCAGTTACTTCAAACTACACTACCAGGATCACAGCATACAAAGATATTGATGATAATTTCTCAATCTGTAAGTTCGTCTGGTTTGGAAAATCAGCATACAAACATGTTTGCAATCATTTCTCAATTTGTAGGTTCGTCTGGTATGGAAATTAGGATTCATGTATATTTTTTATGCTGCTACTAAGCTTCTCAAAATGTACAAATGCCTTTTTAATACAATACGCTGCAGGTCAAGGTCAATTTGGTTTTCATTTCTGGTCTACCATGACACTATTCTTTTCCATGATATAACGATATATACTCGAAATGGTGCAAATGACACACACGTGAATATCACTATTCAAATAATATAGAGTTAGACACTGTAGAGACCAAACTATTCATCAAACTACAATATACTGCTGTTTCATCTTTCTAGGACTCGTCAGTAATTTTGGAGCCAACGAGGCGACTGATGAAATCCATAGCGATCAAATGAAAAGTCAAAATCTAGACGGGGAGGTTCAACAGTCTAATAATTAGATAAACTTCGTTATTTTCATATTTCAGATAATTTTCGAACAGCTTCTGGTATATGTGTATATTAAAGTTACGATATTAGACCAAGAGTGCAAAGTGCATATACAAGAATGAGTTATTTGAAGAATAAACGACATGAAATGAAAGGACGTGGTTTTGTTATTCGTTAAGATGTATGATATTAATCCAATATAAACAACATAATTACTTACCATAATCAACAGGTGTCACCCAGTATTCCTAACACTGATAATCAGCTCCGATCATATGTCAGTCTATATTGTATTCACAGCCGACTGTCCAGCGAGTCCTACCTGTATATCACCAGCAGCAGCCAGGTAAATCTACTACGTCACAGGCCGCACGTGACTCTTCACATCCACGACAACAAGAAAAAGACCCACAGTGTATGCTTCGTCTTTCCGATCAATTACAGAGGAGCGATGTGTTCACGTTAAGTTACATGACGTTGTTTTAATTAGGGCTTTTTCACTAACTGGTGAAAAGACCTATTGTTTTTGTTCTGTTTCTTATTATTCTTATTATTATTCTTCTTCCAATTTTGTGGGTTCGTAATCTTTTAAATTGTAAAAAGTAGACATACAGTCTATTCACCTATTTGTAGATACGTATATGAAGTTGTCGATGCCGATTTTTAAAGTAGGTCAAAAATCCAATATGGCCGCCATGACGTCATAAGTTAAAAACTTAAAAACGGCAATATCTCGAAAACCATTGATTGTACAGAATTTGTGCAATTATATTATTTGTAGTGAATTTCCATATCTAACTTTTTTCCATGCCATATTTATACAAAATGTGTCAAATAAAAAAACTCTCTGTGGGGTAAAGTTTTCAAAATTTAATAATTTTTTTTCTTTTTTTTTTTTTCAATTTTGAACTTTCTTGAAATGTTCTTCTTAAGATCGATGCAGAACATCCTTCCGATGAATTTGGTGTTTTGTTTTCGGTGAGTCTGTCCGATATCCATGATTGTCGCCAAAGAAGTGAAAAGCCCGCAAAAATGTTAGCAACAATTTCTAGTTCTTTCTAATTTTGTCTAATTCGAAAAAATGTTCGCTGTATTTAAAAATTTCTTTTAATATTTTCTGAAATTTTGATCACATCTATCAGCACGGCGTCTTGTTAGATATTAGCCTGTGAAGAAGACGGTGAAAATTGTCAGACGTATCCTACTGGAAGTCGTAAAAGGCAACTAATTATCGGACAACACCTGTAGATCGAAGGTGGTCTCTTTTGTCTTTGCTAAGGGAACACCGAATAACCCTAGAAAACGGCCTGCTATATTCCATGATCTTATGGGGCGATTAAAAGTATGACCTCTGAGGAACACTAGTTTTCTTATATATCTTCTAATAACGATCTTTTGTGTTTTTTTCCCTATCTTTTCTGTCTTCGCTTTCCTTGATATGATTTTCACTCTTGATGTTCCTCTTTAAAACAATCCGCAAAACAAGACTGAATATAACTTGGACATTTAAAACTGCAAATTGATGGCTTTTCGTTTATCACCGTAAAATGTTTGCTTGTTTTTTTTACAATCACACCGGTTAATTCAGGTCAAACTTAAGTGTTGATCGCCAGAATCGTCTGTGAAGTGTATTATTTGATATGGGATAGACGTAAAGAAAGCTACTACAGAGGATAGTGGCAATGACGTACGATTTAATAGTGCTGTCACACAGAAATGTCGCAGTTGCCTGTCAGTTTGATTCTCAGATGGGTTTATTTCCCAGTTGACAGCCATAATAATACTCTGTTTACTACTTCATTGTACCGAATGCGCGAGGCCCGGAAGATAACCAGAGCAAATCGGAGTGAAGCATCTTGCCTAAAATCACAGCCCTGTGAAGGTAACTTCGAACCACGCTCTTAGGATCTGCACCTGTTAATTACATTACCATGGCAACGATTTGACCAGTCTTTGTGCATCGTATCCAACGACAAGCATATATCTATTTTCTGTAAATATTGGTGAAAATTGTGACATTACATCTTTTAGGAAAAACACCATTGGAATCTAAGAAATAGCATTGAATTTTCGTTGATATAAGTAGGATTTGTATGATAAAGATATTTTCATGAGTAGCATTTCATATGGCAAAGGGAGTACACGCAAGTTGGTGTGTATTGCATTAAAAACAGATAACCATTTAATAGATTTCAGAGTGAAAATCGAAAGTCTAAAATATATCATGTAATTGACTTAAACAAGAACATGAAAAACCTTAATTGCAATTAAACCATCCTTGATTACCACTTGTCTAGCTAATCCCTAGGGTTTCTTTTTACAGTTGATTTTCCTTGAAATGGCTAGGGTCATATAAGGATTGTTTTATTTATTTATTTCCAGCGTCGTTCTCCACTTGGCTGTTTTAAATCGACATCATCGTTAATCTTTCTCCATTCTCCTAAAGCTAAATCATTCTGCTATCTTTCACTACTTGCAATAGTTTCAGAGGGACAAGTCGTAATGATACCAAATGCAATTG